AAACTATTTCAAACTTAAAGTAAAGATCTACTTGGCCGATTGAACTGAAACTTTGTAGGAATGATCGAATCATGGTCCTGACAAAGTGTTGTTATTTTTCGGGTCAATCAGAAATACAATTTGGCTGCCATGGCCGCTATTTTGCTACTAAGTTCTAATAGGCCGATCTCACTTAAAATTGGTCTAGGAATGATCAGCTCATGGTCCTGACAAAGTTAAGTTAACATTATACTATTTTTTACTCAAATTGGTACATATTTCAACAACAAAAATAAATACTATAGACTCAGGTGACCGTTAAGGCCCATGGGCCTCTTGTTGTTGTTTATGTGTGCTTTTATGTGTGTTTGCAGGAGGCAAGGTATGTTGGTGTATTTGCCTCCTTGTGATAGGGCAGATCTGATGCCAGCTTTATAGTGCTACTCACCAAAATACCATGTCGAAGGAACACAGTATAGCATTCCGCCCGGACACATTATACTGACAATGGTTGAGCCAGTTGTTGCCATTCCCCTTAATGCTAAATGTTAAGCTGGGAATAACAAGTACCATTTTTTTTTTAGGAATTTTGTATATCCTGGCTTGGGGGACAGAACCATTGCCTTCCTCACCTGGGCGAACATCAAAGCCAAAAGTGAGGTGTTTCTAAGCAAGGCACTAGGGAATAAAAGGTAGTTTGAAGTAGAGAGAAATACAAAGATTCCGAATATTGCAAGGGTGCAGCAGATCTATTTTGGTCGCTTTTGTGTCCCCAAGTAGAGGGCACAAAAGCAAATCCCCAATTCTGCAGGGGGGTTCCCACATTAGTCGCCTCTTACGATACATGCAGTGGGTAACAGCAGGTGAATTCTTTTTTTCTCAATCCCAAAGTTGCAGGGGTGTTTTGGTGATGGCTTCAACTGGTTATCACATCATCAGTGTAGTGTTACTGGGGGGATCACTGGGTGCCTTCAGCATTGTATTTAAGTGAAATAGCACTCTGAAGTCGGCAACAGATCTGTGCTATTGCACGGAGGCAAAGACACCAACATTCTCGGTCTCCAGCACACATACATTACACACATGGAGGCATGTCCTTAAATGGCCGATCAGCTGCGGTTAATAAGACGTGAACGAAGAAAAACAAACAAAAACCTAACCACTTGCTCCACTGACTACGCATATTGTGAAAAATTAGTGCACTATTACTTGTCGCTTGTTATGTAAGACATTGCTTAAATACTCCATTTACACCTAGTTGGACATGGCATCAGACAATTCGCCCGGTAACATTATTTTGAACACGATTAACCAGAAAATGTGTTGGGCAGAGAAAAGCGGATAGAGATCCCAAGTGACTCTCGAGAAACTTCACCCACTTCTGCTAGCACATCAGACGTAACCTTGGGGAGATACTGAATGATTTTGTTTTGTTTGTTTGGGAGTTAACGTCCTTGCGACAGTCAGGGTCATATGAGGACGATCGCGAGTGCAAAGGGAGACACAGCACCCAGGGTCATATGAGGACGATAGCGAGTGCTAAGAGAGACACAGCAGCCAGGGTAATATGAAGACGATCACGAGTGCTAAGGTAGCCACAACAGCAAGGGTCATATGAGGACGACCGCGAGTGCCAAGGGAGACACGGCAGCCAGGGTCATAGGAAGACGATCGCGAGTGCCGAGGGAGACACAGCAGGCAGGGTCATATGAGGGCGATCGCGAGTGCTAGGGAGGCCCAACAGCCCGGGGCAAATGAAGACGATTACGATTGCTAAGGGAGACACGGCAGCCAGGGTCATAGGAAGACGATCGCGAGGGCCAAGGGAGACACAACAGCCCGGGTCATATGAAGACGATCACGAGTGCTAAGGTAGCCACAACAGCAAGGGTCATATGAGGAGGATCGCGAGAGCCAAGGGAGACACAACACCCAGGGTCATATGAGTACGATCGCGCGTGCCAAGGGAGACAGAGCCGCCAGGGTCATATGAGTACGATCGCGAGTGCCAAGGGCGACCCAGCAGCCAGGGTCATAGGAAGACGATCGCGAGTGCTGAGGGAGACACAACAGCCCGGGTCATATGAGGACGACCGCGAGTGCCAAGGGAAACACAACAGCCAGGGGCATATGAAGACGATCACGAGTGCTAAGGGAGACGCGACAGCCAGGGTCATAGGAGGACGATCGCGAGTGCTAGGGAGACACAACAGCCCGGGCCATATGAGGACGATCACGAGTGCTAAGGGAGACGCAGCAGCCAGGGTCAAATGAGGACGATCGCGAGTGGCAAGGGAGACACAGCAGCCAGGGTCATATGAAGACGATCACGAGTGCTAAGGTAGACACAACAGCCAGGGTCATATGAGGACGATCGCGAGTGCTAAAGGAGACAACTCCTGAAACAGAAAGTAGATTGAAAGATAGGAAGCGTTGCCATGGGGACAGCAGATCAATTGTGTTCTCTTCCGTGTTCCCTTCGTAGAATACACGGAGGAAAACCCCCGATTCTACAGGCGGCCCACATAAGTCGCCTTTCACGATGCACATGCAGGGGGATACATCAGGTCAATTCTTGATTTCTTCAAAGTCCCTAATAAGAAGACTATCCTGCACGGGGAATGCATGCTGTCCATAGCTCTCTACATAGACAGATGATGATATACATCCGTTCTAGTGTACAAGGTTTCTAAGTTTTTATAAGTGTCTTAGCATTGATATCATGTATGACCACGAACATTGAGCATTTAGAACTATTATGTTGTACAATTAATGCAAAAGCCACCGTGATGTGCATCACGTGTCTTACACGACGGGCTTAGAACGGACCAGCGTGTGTTGACCATCAATGGACCTAAATACTTCTTTTCTGATGCTACGAATAATGAAAAAAAAAGTTTTAAATTTCTTTTAATCAGTCAATGACACACACTTTCAATAAGGAGAAAAAAGCAGTTGAATTGATATAAATTCCCGCTATACACACAGGCTTCTAATTGCAGAGTTTTCAAGTTAGATAACGAAACATTAGAACGCTTAGCCCCTTATCACACTTGATCTATCACGGCGAAATGCTTAGCTTCTTATTACCTTTGAAACAGTCACGATTTAGTTGCCATTTAAGGCAGATCAATGGCATGGTATTTAAGATCGTTAAAACACGAAAAATGATATCTTGTAGCGTTTGTCGGTATTGATTTCAGATTAGAATTACTATATCTAATTGGGACTCATTGCACAAGGTCATCTCCAATTGCTTAAACATTTGGTTTGAATAGAAACAACCGCGCCTGGTTTGACATTTACATAGACTTATAGGTGACGA